AAGAGCATTATCTGCGGAGCAGTGCATCGCTTCAGTGTGACCCCCATCCATATTTTCACTATCGTTGTGTGGTACTCAGATAACAGCTAGCAATATAATTTCCGACCAAGTATGCGACACTCATTTTGCGCATTCAGATCTGCCGAAAGAAAGGAGGAAAAATCCTTCGCCTCCTTCTTCTGGATCCACCTATGATTGCAGGTACCGTGTACATCGGTGAAATTGGAAATTAGTTTCATATTACTGTTACTTGCGCACATGTGTCGGGGATACTTATTGACATTACATTTAAAAAATGATGTAGGAGGAATGAGGGAGACCCGGGCTGACGCAGTGTTCGTGTTATGGACGGTCAAACTCTGCAAACTCTGTCTTGAAAAATATTATTTCATGTTTGCAAAGGAATATAAACGAACAAATGAGCAACATCACAGTTTGTATGGTATCGGAACGGTGGCATATTCAGGATGCTGTGGACCTACCGCACGGAAAAAAAAGGCTGTTTTGCTTCCATATTTTTTCAATATCCATTTTCCAATCAAAGAAGTTGAAAATTTTTTGCTTTCTCCGCTTTTTTTTCATAGCGCAGTTTATGTTATTCTTGCTAATTTTTGCACGTTCTGCGATCTTTGGGCAGAAATTCGCTGCTCCGCTCTGCTGATCAAAGTAACTATTTTCAACTCACTCCATCGTTTTTGTTCTATTCCGATAATTTCACGCTATCTGAGTGCACAGACGAAGGAGATATTGCCCACTTTTGTCCTGAATACGTCATCGTACCGAGTCAGTGAATCACATCTTTTCTGTTAGATAAAGGGCGAATTTCTGGCTTTATTTCCTTTGTTAACACTGTCTGAAGTGCGATAACCTATAAGAACAAATATTTTTCTCCATTTACATAGAAATTTTTTTGAGAAACAAAAAATTTTTTCCAGTCCGTTCATTCATTTATTTTCAGCAGAAAGTGATAATTTTTGGTGTCGAGTGGTAAGATCGAGGTGCTGCCAAGTGACAGTTTGCGCTAGCTCTTTTGCCTATGCACTCCATCGACTCCATTGTTGAGAAACGCTAGGCAAGCCAGTACCAAATTAACATCGAAATAATGAATCGATGGGAGCTGACTTTCTATTCGTGGATTTGGATGAGCGGCTCGAATTGTCACCAGCCATAAATTTCTACAGCACTGAGCTAAACTGGCATCTTGACTTAAGCACAGTAAAAAGTACACATATAATCACTGAATACTTTAGACCTATCATATCCGTAAAACCCGCCAAGACTGCACCGCCCATGCCGCTGTGGCACTATCGGTGTTTCTGAAATGTACGCAATTGTAATTTTAGTTTTAGATAATGTGTATTTATGTAAAAAGTAAGGGTTAAAAGGGATAAAAGAAAGATGAATAAGCTAAATCGGTTTAAAAAACCTGAGTAGG